AAAAAAAAAAAAAAAAAAAAAAAAAAAAAAAATCAGTGCCCAGGCCACATCCCAAAACTTGTAAATTAAAATATATCTAGGGGAGGAGCCTAGCCAACTGCACTGTTTTAAAGTGCACGAGGTAGTTTTAAAGTGTAGCTAGGGTGGAGAACCACCAGCAGCTGGTATTATTACCGAAACTACAAGCAAGTGGAACACCTGTAAGTTGGTGGAAGATGATAAGGAAGGAGAAAACTAAATATACAAACTTATTTTAGGTCTTTTGAGGGTTTTATTCCTCCAATGTTAAAACTTAGTATTTAAGTGAATCCAAGTAATGTGGAAGGGATCACCAGTCGTCCATTAAGATATACACCATTTTACACAAAAAAAAAGGCCAACCCCAATAGACTACTCTTTAGATTCTTAAGCATTTGGTAACGATGTTATAATTTTAAAATGCTAAAGAGCAATTACAATCACATTTAAATATACAACAATTTTAGAAAATCAATGTTTCACCAAGTTTCTCATTTCAGATGAATAACAAAATAAGCTCAAGTTTCTGTTTTATTGTGTTGACTACCACCAGCAGTGACCCTTGCGAAATGTGAAAAGCAAGCATTCCTATTTTGACTACATATTCTGAAGGATTTGTTATTTATATTAATGATCACCAACTATTATCTAGTAGACTCTCTGGATTTAACTGTTTAGGAAGTGAGTTGTAGACATATAGAAGCCAAGGATTATTTTGAGCCAATAAAGTGACTTGACCAACCAAACGCCTTGTGTGGTTATTAATCATTCTTTATCACCATCATCAGAAGACACTCACTGTGCATCTAGTCAGCTGGGTCAGGGGATTAAAGGTTTAGGAAAGAGTCCTTCCTTGCCTTTAAAGGGTTTTAACTCTGTTTGACTATGGGTCCAAATACATAAAATGATGAATAACAAAGTGAAGGACATGTTGAAATCTGGACTGATAGCAGAAAAGGGCCAAAGGGCTTGTTTTTACTGGAAATATTTTTGCCTAAGCTGGGAAGGGAGTTTGCATCTTCTGGACTCACAGATCAGACAGATGAACAGCTTCAACAAAGCAGATTTATGCTACCCACCAGGAGGGTTTCGCTTAGTTGTCAGTTGTGGACTTTCTTCCAAAAATGCAGCTGTTTTGAAGCAAGAAATCTGGCACCAAAAAACAAATAAAGTGAAAATTTAGGATAAGAATTACCTCCCACCCAACTCTGATCAACAGCTATGTCTCCCTTTCAAAATTTAAAGGTCTGGGGTGGAAACTGGAGGTGGGGGTCTGGGGTGGGTGGGTGGGAATGAACTACTTGCCTTGCTCCAAGACCAATCTCCCCTGTGAGTCTCGCTCTCCAAATACGACCCTCACACACTCTCTATCCTAATTTACACTACTACGACCTCCCAGATTTGTTTTATGTTCTGGGAAGATTTATCCACTTTGGAAGAGTTCTTGAAGTTGCTCACCGACATCGAAGTTGGATTTGAAAGCAAAAGGAGGAATGACCGCGTTTTAACAAAAGAAGAGTGCAAATTCTTTTAAAGAAAGTTGTTTTGTGACTACGGGAGGTAATCAACAGCTACTCAGACATCCTTTTCTTAAACAGCTGAGGTTTATCATTTTCGCTATTATGACAATGAATTTTTCCTCCTTTGCTTTATGCCTTTTGGCAGGAGCCTCGAGTCTGCAGGTGTTAGCACTGCAAGGGCCGAACCCAACCGCCAGAACGTCTGCCGAGCCTAGCATGGGAGGCTGCCCAGCAAAACAGCGCCGAGGGAGAGGGCGACTGAGGAAGAGGGCCTGCAAGCGCGCTTCAGAAGGGACTGGGACCAGAGCCCTGGAAAACTAGAGCGAGTGGATTTCCTGGCAGGGAAACCCGCGGGAGCCTGGAGGAAGGAAAAAAAAAAAAAAGTGGCAGAGGAAGAAACTCACCCAGCGCAGCGAAGCCGGGCGCGAGCGAGCCAGGGAGCGCGCAGGCTGGCTAGGCCTCTCCAGCTGGAAATCATTGTGCAGGCTGGCGTCTGCGTTGCCATGGCGACCGCCCGGCCGGCGCCAGCAGAGGGGGCAGGCGGGCTCCGTGAATGGGTGACGTCACGCGGCCGGCGCCAGGCAGTCTGGGCGGCCGAGCCAATGAATCAGCTGTCCGGGGGAGGGAGCGCCGCGCGCGGGAGGAGGGTGCAGGAATGCGCCGGGACCGCGCGGCCCGGGAGGGCGGGAGACGCCTCCGCCTGCTCCGCCCCGCCCCGCCCCGCCCCGCCCCGCCCGGTCCGGCGGTCGAAGGTCCCGGCGTCCCAGGCTCCGACTTCCTGGTGCCCCTCGCGCTCAGGCTGCGGCCGTGCCCGCGTCCCTCGCCTTGCGCCGGTCACCCCCACGGGCGCGCGCTCTGCGGGGAGGCCCACGACCAAGGGGGGCTCGCTGGGGCGGCGTCAGGGTTTGTTTTCCAGCTATCGCGACTGTGGTACTTCTTTAAAAGGCAACATGCAATAAAACTTGGCCTTGTAGGTAGCGTAGACTTTGAAAGTGGTGATGAAGTCACTGCCATCTTACCGTGCGCTCCGCACTGTGCTGGGTGTTCAGTATCATAAACAATGAAAGGACCGGGGCTCGGAAGTTCCCGAAATTAAACTGGGAAGAAAAAAGTCCAAGGAACTCGTGATTCAGGCTCAGAGCCGGCTGGCTGCTCTTCCGTTATTCTATACTGCGGGACTGTAGGTGCTTTGGAGGTTCTAGAAGGCAAATGGCCCCGAAGAACTCCAGTTTTCTGGTGTTTGTGTTTTGCTTTTCTTCTGTCCCGCTTTGCTGTCCATTACACAGTGCCCTGACAGTGGCCAAGTACTGGGTTATGGTTATTTCAGTATCCCCAGCATTTGGCGCGCTCTGGGACTCCTGGTAAGGACTGGACCTTGTTGATGGGTAATCTACAATGCAGAAGTACATGATGTTTGCGTAAAGGCTGGAGTAAACACTGTGCCCCTGAATTCCTAGACATCTCTTTTGAGTGCTTACTTGGTTTTTGGTGATTTTTCAAGAGTAGTGATGCATTGTTACTGAAACGAACACCGGAGCGTGGCCTAGGCACACTCAGTTATAGTAGACGTCATTAAATCTGCCCTTCCTGCTGAAGTCTGGGCCCCCCTTCTTTTTAATCTGGAAGATGACATCTGGTGAGATAGTCTCTTAAGATCCATGAAGTTCGAGCAGCCAATCATTGTATTTATCAACCTTCAAAACTATTGAGCTTACTATTCCTATCATTGTATTTGGCATTATGACATTCATTCAACGAACACTTCAGGGTCCCTGCTATGTAAGTAGTGTGTACTAGACGTTTTAATTGAATTTTTTTGGTAATAAAAATTAAGGGCCAGGTGCAGTGGCTCTTGCCTGTAATCCCAGCACTTTGGGGAGTTCTAGACCAGCCTGACCAACATGGTGAAACTCCATCTCCACTAAAAAAAAAAAAAAAAATTAGCCGTGCGTGGTGGTGCCCGCTTGTACTCCCAGCTACTCAGGAAGCTGAGGCCGGGGAATCTCTTGAAGGAGGCAGAGGTTGCAGTGAGTCGAGATCGTGTCACTTGCACTCTTACCTGGGCGACAGAACATGACTCCGTCTCAAAAAAAATGAAGAAAGAAAGAAACTAGACGACAAAGCAAGTGCTAATAAATGGTTATAGGCCAGTTCATCTTAACATTTGAAGTGCATGAAGTCACCTGGCAATTGGTTGAAAAGCAGGAGAGGTTTGGGATTCTGCATCTTTATAAGCCCCCAAATGATGTTGATGTTGCTAACCCTGAACTGCACTTTAAGAGAATCTTGACCACAGAATACCAAGGAAAGCATAAAGTACGAATATGATTGATATAAAGTGGCGTGGGTTCCCAAAAGCCTGTAGAGACAATGAGCTTGAGCCAGGTGATTGAGCATATGATTGGCTGAGGGAATGAAAAAGCAGAAAAAACAGCATAAATAACAAATTGCATTGGAAGGAAAGGAGCAAAAAATAAGTTGAGGGGTGAAGAGGATTTTCTCTGACTTCAATTAAGGATATTTAGGAAAACTACAAAAAATGACACTGAAGATTTACTGGTGGGGTAAGACCATCTTAGAAGTTACCAATCCCAGTTAATGTGGTGTAGTTGAGGAAACCGAGCAGCAGTACGATTTCATTAGATAATGGCAGAGCTCAGAATGGAAGCCGAATCTGAGGAATTCAGATTACGAATAACTTACAGAGTCCTTGATATAAGAAAAACCACTTGTCATTGTTGTTTTTGTTGCAAGGTGAGAATATGGGGAAAACAAAAACAAGCATGGAGTTTTGGGGGAGGTTTGGTCTAAGGAAGATGAAGCAATATCAGGAGAAGAGATTAATCAGAAAAGTTTTGTGTTTGCCTGAATTGTGACAGCTGCAACCAGCTGATTAAATCAACCATTGATGTAAGAAAAGGAAAAAAAAACTTTCCTCCATCCCTCCCATGGTCCAATGAAGCATTTTTCAACCCTGACTTCACATCAGCATCACTATTTTTTTTTTCAATAGGAATTCCTGAGCTCCACCCCAAAGGAATTTAATCAGAATCTCTAAGAGTGGAGCCCTAGAATCAGAATTTTTAAAGGCTCCCCAGGTGATTATAATGTGCAGCCAGTGTTGAGAATCACTAATCTAATATACAGTCACCAGCTCATTTTGTAGGCTTCATTTCGGCCCCTGAACATCTCCTCCAGTGTTCACTATTACACTAGCACTAGATCATTGTTAATACTGGGTGTGTGCTGTGGTGGATTTTGATGGTTTAGAGCACATTTTCTAAGTTCAGTGTCGTCCATCCCTCATTAACTGTCATGGTTTAGTTGTGAACATATCCTGAAATCTCTCATTGGCAAGAGAGGGAACAGTGATTTGGCACATGACTGGATGGAAATGATAAACCTGGTTTATGAACCGATATGGTACCATAGTGTGGCAGTGCAGTTATTTTACTTGATTTTATCTTTGCTTTAATAATCTACTTTAACAGCCTCTTTAGGATTAGAGCTGATGAATGAGCACTTAAAATAGTGACTTGGACCATTGGAACTTTTATTTGGCGTCTTCCTTAAAAAAAAAAAATCGTTATTTGGTGGAAAAAAATATCTGAATGTGAGAAGGGTATATAGTGTTTTTGTTGGTGACTAACTTAACTTTTAAAGCTTCATTGATTCATTGATTCCTCTAAACTTAATTGAGTACCTACTATGTGTCAGGTACTTTTTCAGATACAAGGATGCCAAGTGAAGAAAAGCATTTTCTCTGTCTTCAAAGAGGAAAAGATGAGCACAGTGAATTTCAGGTATTGTATTTATCCAGCTTGGACGTTTAAAAGGTACTTGGCTTTCCCATACTGTCTTGAGATGCATTTTGTATTTTTTAAAATTCATGTATTTAGTTTTTAAAAAAGAAAACTAATGTATGTGGTTCAAAAGCCAAAGAAATTATTTTCCCTCTCATTCTTGTCCTATGTCTTCTTAATTCCCTCTCACACCCCACAGAAGCCACTATTAATTTTTTGCCTATCCTTTGAGAGTCGTTTTAATATGCAAGCAAATATAAACATATTCTTATTTTCTCCTATTTTAACACTGTTCTGTATCTTTTATAAATTTAAAAATATCGAGAGGGTGTCTTTCTATATCGGCACATTCTGTCTTCATTTTGTCATTCTTTCATAATATTCTCTTGCCTCGAAGTACCACAGTTTATTTCTCTTACTGCTATTGATGGTAATTTAGGTTGTTTCCAATCTTTTGTTATGAAATTACATAAACAACCTTGTGCAGCATCTATGTCATTTTGTCCATGAAGTATTATCTGTAGGATAAATTTCTGCAAGCAAACTTATTGGGTCTTTTAAAGGGTGTATGTTAACATTCTTGATTGTTTCCTTAAGATAAATTCCTCGGCATGAAATTCCTGGGTTGACTAACATAAATACTTTAAAGGTTTTTGATATTTACTGAGAAATTGCCATCTAGAGAGTTCGTACTGATTCATTTTCTCACTTGCATGGTATAAAAGTACCCATTTCTCTGAAACCTTGCTGGTATTGGAAAATACCTTTTTAAAAATACGTCTTCATTTATTTCCTGGGTAAAATATTGCATATTTATTACCTTAGCTTGCATTTCTATGAATAAGATATAGTTTGAACCTTACCATATGTTTATTAGCCATTGCATGATTAGAGATTTGTCCATCTCTTTTGTCCAGTTTTGAAGAATTTTTATTTTTCTTAGCGATTTGTAATACATAATACACTAATCATAATAATGATCTGTTTCTTAAACCCTCACCTTTTTCCAGGCACTGTGCTAAGCATTTTTAATTGGTCCTATGTATTGTAAATATTTTATCTGAGTTTGGTATGTGTCTATAATCCTTGTTTAAACATTATTTCTTCTTAAAAACCTATGGAAGTATGTACCCCAAAACCTAAAATACAATTTAAAAAAAACCTATAGAAGCTGTACAAATTATGTGAGAAAACAAATCAATCTTTTATGTGTTTTGTTTGCTTGCTTAACACACAGGAAAGTCTATCTACTCTAAAATCAAGTTAGCATTTACTTTCTTTTTTCTAGTTCCTGCAGGACTTTAAGTAATTTTTAAAACCTAAATTCATGACTATTTACAAATGGTTAGCAAACTACAATGTAACTATCTTTTTCTGTTTCAAGAAAACAGTTTTATACTTTTTAAAGCAATTATTTTTACAAATACAAATAACTAAAAACATAGGGGCAGGGGGAGGACTAAAACTAACCACAATCCATAAACTGAGACAATCTCTATTAACATTTACAGCAAATCTAGTTGATTTGCTACATGTAAATAAATATCTGTATACTGCATATTTTTTACAGAAATGGCAATATATTATGTATATGTTTTATCACCTGCTGTTTCCCCCTCTCTTGGCAGTGTAGGGTGAACAACATCTTTTTATGTCAATAACTCTTCATCCTCATCATTAACCATTGTGTAACAGAGAACTCTTTAATGAGGTCAATTTCCCCTCCAGAAGCAGGAAACCTGGGCAGAAGCATTCCAAAGAAACCTCACCTGGCTGTTTGATGTTCATCCATTCAGAATTTCCTAAGGCAGTTTAATTCATTGTTTCTCAGTC